AATATGTCAAAAGATCACAAATCGTATCTAGTTGAAGACATTACCCTCAAAAATTGAAAAAAAATCCCTCGTTCCCCGTAAACGGGGGAAATCCCCCAAAAAATTACAAATTTAAAAATCGCTAATTTTCGATATTTTTTCATTTTTTTTTACTTAAAAGTGCCATAACTTTTTCAAAAATGAATAAATCAATATAATTTTTTTCTTTATAGATACCTTAGATATTTACCTATCATTTTATATATTTTTTTTATAAATTTGACCCTTTCCCTGCCCACAGAAGGGGATTAAAAATGACAACTTTTTCACAAAAAATTAACTTTTTCAACATAACTTTTGAAAATGTTCCGGAAAGACTGACACTTTTATATATATCTTAAATTAAAGCTAATGTAATATACTTTAATTTGAAAAAAAAAAATTTGACCTCTGGACTTGTCTTCATGGTGAAAATGACTACCGTATGCAAAAATATGCTATTTTTGTGAAAAAATTCTTGATATTATATTTTACATTTTTTAACATTATGTTGCTATAACTTTTTAAAAAATGCATGAATCAACTTTATTCTTTAATGATAAATACTTTATATATACTTCTTTCATTCGACATACTTTTTTTTAAAATCGGACCATTTCCCTTTATACAGGGGGGGTGCAAACCTTTTAAAATGCGTATAGAAAGTAGAACTTTTTCAACTTAACTTTTGAAAATATTCCGGAAAGACTGACACTTTTATATATATCTTAAATGAAAGCTTATGTAATATGCTTTAATTTGAAAAAAAAAATTTGACCTCTGGATTTGTCTTCATGGTAAAAATGACTACCGTATTCAATAATTTGCTATTTTTGTGTTAAAATCCTGGGTTTTGTATTTTATTTTATTTTAAAATACCTGACAAGGGGAGTACAGATTTTCATAAATATTATATAAATTAAAATTGATATAGTATAGATAGTTAAACTTATTTAAATATGTTTGTTTCTTTTAAGTCGAGAAAAATAACTTTGAAATTTGAACTAGCTTAAAT